CCTGCCAAGCCCCATTGCCGCCTCTCCCAGCATCCTTGCAAGCATGGGGGCACCCCGCTGCCCCATCCCCCCATGCAGGCGGGTGGTTGACGGGGCGGCGGTGTGGGATGCGATGACCGTGCAGCAGTTCCTGCAGGCCATCGGCAGCACCAGCGAGCAGGCAGAGGAGATCAGGTGGGCCCAGGGGTGCGCGTCGTGCACAGCGTGGCACGTCGTGCACAGCGCGGCACGCCGGCCCGGCACGCCGCCCGGCAGGCAGCGAGCAGGGCTGCCGAACAGGCAGGCTCCTCCCTGCTCTGCCAAGCCTGACTGAACCACCCATCACACACACACACACACACGAGTCCAGGCACCCGCTGACCTGGACGCCACGTGCCTGTGCCCTCTCCCCGCGTGCAGCCAGCTGGCGGCCTCGGGCCGTACCCTGGGCCAGCTGAGCCCCCAGGAGGCGGAGGCACTGTGCTGCGGCGGGTGGGACAGCGGGGAGCGGGCGCGCTGCCAGGCCCGCTTCATGCAGCTGCTGGACATCGGGTACCGCATGGGACTGCTGGCTTCAGGTCAGCTTCCAGTGCGCGGTGCCGCCATCGGGTCGCTGCGTGGCGGCAGGCGATGCTCTGCATTCCGTCGGCCCCCCGCTGGCTTGCCCTCGCTCACCCTGGCTGCCACGTTATGAGTCTCCATCGGCCCATGTATGCCCGCTGCCTCGTACCGGGCCCCGCCCTCCTTCCCCCCGACTTTCCTCCCCGGCTGCAGTGGTCCCCGTGGGCGCCACCGGCAGCATCCACCCCTCCTTTGCCAGCCACGCCGCCGCCGCCGCCTCCCGCTTCGCCGTGGCCACCCGGCTGCTCATCCAGGAGCCCGCGCCGCAGGGGCCGCCCGACGAACAGGCGGCAGCCGGGGCGGGTGAGGCGTTGCTGCCCCCGGCGCCAACGCCAAACTACGCATCGTGTCTCCACAAGATTTGCATGATCGTATCCGTGCTTGGTTGTGCTTGGTGTGCCCTGTTGCCTTGCTCTCAAGTGGCTCCCCCACTGCCCGCTGCCCTCCCTCCCTGCAACCCCTGCTGGCACGCATGTGCAGGCGCCGCTTCTCCGCCGCCCTCACCTGCCCACATCACCGCCATCTTCGACCTGGAGGCAGACGCCGCGGCGGCAGGCGCCTACTGGTACCACCTGCACTGGGTGGTGTCCCGCCACGGCTCCTTCAGGGCCGCCACCAGGCAGGACCAGCTCCTGGCCAGCTGCTTCCCATTCGACCGAGCGCCCGAGGTGGGCTGCGCGGGGTTCGGTTGGGAAGCTCCCCTCCTGAGAGGCTGGGTTGGGTGTGTGTATCGCCGCTGGCTGGTAGTGCCGTTGACTGGGAAGCAAGAGGAGGATGAGGTCTCCGCTCTGCGCTCAGGCAGCACGGGCAGCCAGCCTCCTCGGTGGTCCGCTGGATAGGGCAGGACAAGCCGCGCCGCTCTCCGGCAGCCCTGCTCACGCGAAACCCGGCCCCTGCCACCCCCGCACCCACACTCCTCTCCTGTTGCCCCTTCCCCTCCCACCCCCTCACACTCCCTCTCCCTCTCGGCCCTCCTCACTTGCGCACAGGCCTCCTTTGAGCGAGCCTACGGCCATCGCAAGGAGGTGACCCGGGAGCAGGTGGCGCAGTTGGCGGCGTACCTGCAGGTGGGTTCCTCCCTTGCAGTACCATAGTACCACAATACATGGTACTAGTTGTATCCAGAGACCTGGTATCCAGAGAGGGGGCTGTATGCCTTGGCGGGCCCGGGCCGCCCCAGCCCAGCCCAGCCCGCCGCATCCGCACCCACCCTGCCGCGCCTGGGAATTGCCCGCCTGAACCTCCGCCTGCCACCGCGTGCCTGTGCCTATTGATCGGTGATGTGCAGGGCGAAGATGTGAAGGGGATGGGCAGCGAGCGGTGCCGCCAAGTGGCGGAGCAGCTGGGGATGCCGTACCAGGCGGTGCGTGGCTGCATGGCTGCCTGCCTGGCTGCATGGCTGTTTTCGGTGCATGGCTGCCTGCATGCGTGCCTGCCTGCCTGCCTGCCTGGCTGGCTGTCTGGCTGCATGCCTGGCTGCCTGGCTGACTGTTTCCGGTGCACGGCTGGCTGCGTTGGGGGGTTCCGGCTGGCTGCCCGGCTGGTTGTGGGCCGGCTGGTTGTATTGACAGCAGCCATGGCATGGCACGCGCTGCCTGGCTGCCCCACGCTGCATCTGCAGTCTCTCGCCGAGGGCTGGTGCCCATCCCGGCTCTTCCGCCCGCCCCTGCCGCCGCAGGTGCTGACGTTTGTGCAAGAGCACAGCCGGCGCCCCTCGCAGCGCCTGGGGGCGCTGGCGCACTCCCGCGGCAGGCGGTCGGCGGGGGATCCTGCGGTCGACGTGGCCACCCTGATAGGTGGGCGCCAGGCGGCTGCCTGACGCCTGGTCTGCTGCCTGGCGTGCTGCCTGATTTCAGTGCAAGCGGGTTGCATCGATGCTCCCCTTTCTGTGGGGCGCTCCCTTGGGCGCCCCCCCAGTGGCCCGCCCTGCCCTCGCCGCTCACCTGCCGGAGCCTTGGTTATGGGGGTGCCGCAGAGCGGAGGAAGGACTACCGGCGGCGGTACTACCTGAAGAAGCGCATGGAGAAGCTGGCGGCGCAGTATCCAGACGGTATCCCGCCGCACAAGCTCCCCGCCAGGTCCTACGCTTCCAGCGGCCTGCCGCGCGAGAAGGCGCGGGGCAAGCGCAGGGCGGGAGGGCAGGAGGCGCTGCTGCCGGCGGGAGACGAGGAGGCATCCGAGGGGTGCGCTGCCGCAGCCGGAGGCGCCGCCACCTGCCGCCGCTGCCGCCAGCCAGCGCTGTGTGCTCGCGCGGGTGCTGCTGCAGTGCAGCTGCCACCGCTGCCGCCAGGGGTTGCGCCACGCCCGGACGCCGACGCCCAGCGAACCGCCTCTCCCGCCTGCCATCTCGCGTCTTAAGCCTGCCTGCCTGCCCACCGCGCTGCCTGCTGCCGCAGGGCGGAGGCAGAGGAGGAGGGCCCGGTGCGTGTGGACCATTCGGTGCTGCTGCCGCAGCCCGCGGAGCGGCCAGTACCGCTGCGCAAGCAGAAGTGGCACCAGTTCGAGGACCGCGAGCTGCTGACGGCGTGGGCGGGGTGAGCGGCTCTGGCAGTGCAGGGCGCCGGCTGCGCGCGCCGGCGGCCGGCCGTTTTGCAGGCCGGCGGCGGCGGCCGCGGCCGCGTTGCGCACTCGGTTCGGGGCCAGCGTCCGCGTCGGGCCGAGTGTGTGTGTGATGCGTGTGGTGTGCTGCCTGCCGCCACCCGCTGCTGTCCCCACACCACCACCCCCTTCGCCAGCCTCACACACGCCACCTCTGACACCACCTCTGGGCGCAGGTGGCGTGTCGCCTACGGCCCTGATAAGGTGCTGCTGTGGCGCACCGTGCCCGGCCGCCCGCCCAACCTCAAGCACGCCACCCTCAAGCGCAGGCACGCCGGCCGGCCCGGGGCGGTGTTGGGGCGGCGTGGATGTGCGGCACAGGGCAGCGCTGGGGACGCGCAGCGGCGCTGGCGCCAGCCGCCCCGCCTCGCGGCCTGGTCGCGCCTGGCATGTGCTGCCTGCACGCTAGCTGACTGGCCCGCGCTCCTGCCGTCTGCGTGCCGCGCCAGCAGCCGAACACATGCGTCCGCTCCTCCTGCCGCCCGGCCTGCTGCAGGCTGCGGGAGCTGCAGACGCATGAGGATGTGAGGGAGGCAGTGGCACAGATAAGGTCTCTGGCCCTGAGGCTGCACGCGCTGCTCCTGCAGGCGGCAGCCGAGGCGCGGCAGCGGCAGAAGCAGGAGCAGCAGGAGCAGCAGGCGCAGCAGGAGGAGGGCGGGGAGGGCGAGGGGGCGGCCACAGGCGCCGGCGCCGCCCCAAGGGCCGGCGGCAAGCGCGCGGGCGGCGCGGCGCAGGCGCCGGCGGCGAAGCGGGCTCGCGGCGAGGCCGCACGCGCGGCGGGCGCGGCCGCTGCCGACGCCGACGAGGGCGACCCGGCGCAGCCGGCGCTGTCCATGCTGCAGCGCCTGCTTCCTGCCGGCTTCCAGCGGGACATGGCGGCGGCGGCCAGGGAGGAAAGCACGGCGGCGCTGGCTAGTATGGCGGCCCTTGTAGAGCAGGCGGTGGCTGCGGCTCCCAAGCAGTTCAAGAAGAAACAGGCGCGGCGCCCCGCGGCCGCCGCCCCGCGGGAGACGAGCGGCCACCCTCGCCGCCCCGGCCCCAAGCCGCTGTCTGCTGCGGCCGCGGCGGCGCTGGCCGCCGCCGGCGGCACCCACGTCGCCGCCCGCCCCGCGGCCCTGCTCAAGCGGTGGGCGGCCGCGCTGCGCGGCGGCGGCGGCGGCGGCCTGGACGGCAGCGGCGCGGGCGAGGCCGCGGGCGCGGCGCAGCCGCCGGGGCCGGCGGTGACCGCCGCTCTTGCTCTGGCAGAGTCGCTGCTGTTCCTGGGGGCCGAGACGGGCATCTTGGGTGCGCGCCTTGCCCGCCCGCCTTCTGGCCTTCCTGCCATCTTGCGCCCGCATGCCCGCCGCCTGCTCGCTGCCGGGTTGCATGCTCCTGTGCCTCTGCCTGCCTGCGCTCCCTGTGCCAGCTGCCACGCACCGGCATGCCCACCGCCACTGCCGACCCCGCTACGCAGGCACGGGGTACGAGACGGCGCTGACGGGGCGCTTTGCCGCCGCCGACATCCGCCGCGCGTTTGAGCTGCTGCGGCGGCAGGGCGCGCTGGTGCAGCCGGGGCCGCGCGCCGCGCGCCAGAGCCTGCACCTCAGCGACCGCTGGCGCGCGCAGCTGCAGGTGTGATTGATTCTGTGTGTGTGTGTGTGTGTGTGTGTGTGTGCACGCGCGTCTGTGTGTGTGTGTGTCCATGTGTGTTTTGTGGGGGGGAGTCATCGGGGCGAGGCGGGCTGCCGCTGCTGTGGCGGCTGCCTGCTATGCGGGCGCATGGGCGCCACGCCGCCCCAGCAATCAGCGCCGGCCTACAGCAGGCCCCGACAGTGGCCCCTCCCGCCCACCTTGCCTCCTCACCTGACCACCCCTCTCCCATGCCGCAGTCTGCTGGCTTTCCTCCCTCCATTTTCGAAGAGGCGGCAGCGGCGGCAGGCGCGCTGCAGAAGCACCGCCGGTTGGACGTGCCGGCGGCGGCGTCGGGCGGCGCGGGCGCGGCGGAGGAGGGCGTGGCCGCGGAGCAGCAGGGACAACAGCCGAGCGGGGGCGGCAGGGTACCTGGCGGTACCGTCGCGGAGCTGCTGGGGCGCATGGCAGCGGGACGGCTGGTGCTTCGGCCTCACAAGGTCAGAGCAACCCCTCGGCTGTCGGCAGCGGCGGCTGCGGCTGCAGACAGCGGCGGGCCCGCCAGCCTGGAGCATTACACTGCCGAGCTGGACGTGAAGGTGGCGGTACGGGCAGCGGCGGTACCGTCAGCGCACCAGCCGGCCCCGGCCGCGGGCGGCAGCGAGGGCAGCGCCGCGGGCGGTGGTTGCGCCCCCGCAGCAGCAGCTGCAGGAGAGGAGAGGGCCGAGGCGGCTGGGGAGGCAGAGACGGCGGCTGAGGTGGCGGTGGGGGGGCTGGCAGGAAGCTTGCGGTACACCCGGCAGGACCAGGTGCTGTTCCAGCCTTCCCTGGTGGCAGCCAGCGGCGAGGTGTGTGCACAGGCGCAGGCGGCGTGCCGTGCAGCGGCGGCCGCCGGCGGCGTCGCTGCTGCCGGGGCGTTTGACGCGGCGCTGGCCGCGCTGCGGGAGGCGGGTGCCGCGGGCCTGAGCCTGCGACAGCTGGCCTCGGCGCTGCACCAGGCTGGCGGCAGCAAGGGCGCCGGCGCCGGCGCCGCCCTGCCGGCGCGGCGCCAGGTGGGGCAGCGGCTGGCGGAGCACCTGCTGCTGCACGGGCTGGCCCGAGCCGTGTGCAGCTTTGAGGGCAAGCGGTACGCTGCGGCGGAGCACAGCCAGGCGCTGCTGGCCTTCCCCCACCTGCCGCTGCCGCAGCCCTCGGCGCCCGCGGCCGCGCCGGCGCAGCTGGCGGGCAGCGGCGCGCACCATCCCCAGCAGCAGGAGGGCGGGCAGCAGGAGCAGGAGGAGGAGCAGGGTGGGCAGGCTGGGGAGCAGCGGCTGCGGGAGTGGCGGCAGTCGATGGCGAGGGAAGTCGGGCGCCTGGCTGCTGCGCTGGGCCTGCCCGCCGGCGGCCGCCTGCAGCCCTGCCTGGATGTGCCACTGAGGCCGTGGGTGGACCACCACGGCCGCCTCAACAGCCGGCTGTGGGAGGCGCTCGTACGCAAGGCGCTGGCAGCGGCGGCGCGGCAGCCAGGTGCGCGCGGCGGACAGCAGGGGAGGGGCGGTTGGAGGGGGAACCCCGCCCTGTCGCGCCTGGCATGCTGCAGCCTGCAGCCTGCCCCGGCAGCCATGCCACCACCCAAACCCTAAACCCCATCGCCGCAGCTGGCTGCCTGGCTGCCCGGCCTGAGCATGCATCGGCTGCTGGCAAGCTCACCAAGCTGGCGGCCGCCTGCTCGGCCGCCGCCGCTGTGGAGTGCAGGCCTGCCCGAGGGCGCTTTCTTGGATGAGCTCAGCGTGGTGGCGCCGCAGCACGCCCGGGAGCTGCTGCGCACCCTGGAGGCGGCGCAGCTGCTGAGGGTGCAGACGACGGCGGGCGGCGCCGGCGCCGGCTCGCCCCGCAGCGTGCTGGCTGCCTGCTTTTGGCCTGGAGGCAGCACGCAGGCGGAGGCAGGCGCCGCCGCGGGCCGCGGCGACGACCGCGGCGGCGGCAGCGACGGCAGCAGCGGCGAGGAGGAGGAGGCGCAGGCAGGGCGGCGCCGCTTCTACTTTGCGCCGCCGGCTGCCTGCTTCGGCGCCTCGCGGGTGCTGCCGCCGCAGGCGCTGCTGCCGCTGGCGCCGGCGCCCGGCCGTGGCTAGGCCGCCCTCCCAGAGGGGCAGCAGAGGGCTCGAAGCACTGCCCAGCTGTACACCCAGCTCACATGCCAGATCCCAGGGCCGCCGCCTGCGCTCCACGGCATGGATGTATATGCAGTCATGTAACGCCAATGGCAGCTTGCAGGGGCAGCTTGGAGGGGCAAGCGTGCTGCAGGGCTGTAGCTGCGCCACGTCTTATCCTTAGAAGGGCAGCCTTGTTTTGTTGGGGGCGCCGGCGCCGAGCGATCCCCTTGAATGCTTTCCTTCGAAGACCCATCGATGACCACAGTGATGGTTGCTCCCCTGTTGAACATTAGTTGGGCAAAACAAGAGGGTTATGTATTCGCCACCAGTCCGTCAGCGCCAGCTGGGCGGGCGGCGGGGATCTCGCGGAAGCGCTGCGCTCACAACCCTAAGCCAGCTTCTCTTGCGATCCGTCTGGCGTCAGAAGACACACAGTCCGCATCTCTGCTCATCCGTCCCGGAGACGTGGGTGAGTGGGACCCTGCTCGTGGGCCGACTCTGTTGGCGTGCCACTGAGGTGCTGGTCAGCGCTTGAGGAGCCCCCACGACACTGTGTCGCCACAGCGCGCGCTGCCGCTCTTCGGCCTGCCTGCGTGGGCGCCCTTGCCGACGCTCCCGCCACTCGCCCGCCCGCCTTTCTGTGCAGTTGTTGGCTCCCCGAGGTTTTGGTTAATGGCAACCACCACCACTATCCGCACGCTAGTGAAGCGGCTCCGCAGCGGTGGGCGCAAGGCGGCGGCGGCAGCCCGGACGCTGGCTGACCTCTCTTATGGCATAGACAACAGAACAGCCATCATAGCAGCCGGCGGCATCTCGGCGCTGGTGCAGTGCCTGGGCAGCAGGGACAGCAGCGAGGCATTGCTGCAGGAAGCAGGCGCAGCTCTGTGCCACCTCTCTTCAGGCAGCCCCGACGACAAGGCAGCCATTGCAGCAGCCGGCACAATCCCAGCCCTGGTGCAGCACCTACTCAGCAGCAGTGAGCGGATGCAGGAGCTGGCAGCCGGAGTGCTGCGGAATCTGGCCAGCGACAGCCCCGACCATATGGCGGCCATTGCGGCAGCTGGTGCCATCCCAGCGCTGGTGCAGTGTCTGCGAAGCAGCAACAGGCATTTGCTGGAGGAGGCAGCCGGGGCGCTAGGTAACCTGGCTTATTTAGAATCTGACCCACGGCGCAGCCATTGCGGCGCAGCCATTGCGGCGGCAGGCGGGATTCCGGCCCTCGTTTGGCAGCTGCGCAGCAACAGCAGCCATGCCGTGCTTGCTGTAGCAATCGTAGCACTTGAAAACCTGTCGGCAGCCGATCCTGCACACAATGCAGCAATTGCAGCAGCTGGAGGCATTGCTGCCCTGGTGCAGCACCTGCACAGCCGCAGCGAGGTGGTGCAGAGGCGAGCAGCCAGTGCGCTGTGGAACCTCTCTGAAGGCAGCCCTGACAGCAGTGCAGCCATTGCAGCAGCTGGCGGCATCCCTGCCCTGGTGCAACGAGTGCACAGCAGCAGCGAGGCGGTGCAGGAGCAAGCCGCCGGTGCACTCTGGAGCCTCTCTGAAGGCAGCCCTGCCAGCCAAGCATCCATTGTGGCAGCTGGCGGCGTCCCAGCTTTGGTGCAATGCCTTCGCAGCGGCAGCAGCGGCAGCAAGGTGAACGCTTGTGGGGTGCTGTTGGACCTATCCTGCCGCAGCGCCAGCAACAGGACAGCGATCGCCGCAGCTGGCGGCATCCCAGCCTTAGTGCTGTGCCTGCGCAGCAGCAACTGCGAGGCAGTGGAGATGGCCGCCAAGTTGCTGGGCAATCTGGCCTCTGACAGCGCCGACAACAGAGCCGCCATTGGTGCAGCCGGCGGTATTCAATTGTTGCTCAAGGGCCTGTTGAACAGCTGCCCCGTTGCACAGGAGGAAGCAGCCAGGGCGCTTTGCTGCCTGGCGTGCAGCAGCCCTGACAGCAGTGCAGCCATTGCAGCAGCTGGCGGCATCCCTGCTTTGCAGCAGTTGCACCGCAGCAGCCCAAGCGACACGGCACGGGAGGCTGCAGCTGCTGCATTGCGGGGACTGGCTGACAACGGCCAGGCTGCGGCTGGCGTGCCCTCTCCTGAGAGCGCAGCAGAAGGGAGTGCGGCGACTGCAGGCGACCCAGCAGCAGCACTCACACCCCCGGTGGTTGCCTTAGGTGCAGCAGAGCCTGCTGGCCCCACTGTGGCAGCAACAGCTGTTGCCAGGGTGTGTGCAGCTGATGGCTGCGCCAACACACGTCGTCTGAAGCTATGTACCGGGTAAGCGCTGTTTGTGTGGAGGGGCAGGGACAGCACCAGCTGTGCCTGCATGCCTTCGTTCACTGCCTGCACTGCTTCAGCTGTTTCCTGCCGGCAGGTGCCGGGCTGTGCGGTACTGCAGTGAGGCCTGCCAACGCGCGCGCTGGCATGCGCACAAGCCGGAGTGTCGGCGCCTGCGTGCCGCCGCGGCCGCTGCGCACCCCTAAACCAGCAGCCTGCTGCCCCTGGCTGGGCCCTGGAGTGTAGGACGGCCAGGATGCGCCGCCGAATACAGCCCGCCAAGTTAGATCTAGCGCCATGTTGCACTGACGCCTGCACATTTATCCCAGTTTATCTTCATCTGCAATAGATGCAGCTGCGGGCGCGAGGCAAAGCGAGGGAGAGGGAGGGGAGCGGGCAGCGGTGGCGGCGCGGCGACAGCGGCTGCCCGACCATATTGGCTGGGGCTGCTGCCGGTGTTCACACAAAATGCAATGGCGCCCACCTGCCATGCAGAATCAAACGGATCAGGATGCCACTCGAAGCACTGCCCAGCTGTACACTGCAGCTCACATGCCAGATCCCAGGGCCGCCGCCTGCGCTTCACGGCATGGATGCATGTTCAGTCATGTAACGCCATTGGCAGCTTGCAGGGGCAGCTTGGAGGGGGAGTAGCAAGCATGCTGCAGGGCTGTGGCTGGGCCACGGCTGGGCCTCAGAAGGAGCTTCCTTCGGAGGTCTTGTTTGGGGGGCGCCGGCGCCAAGCGATCCCCTTGAATGCTTTCCTTCGAAGCCCAGCGATGACCACAGTGATGGTTGCTAGCCTGTTGAACATTGGTTGGGCAAAACAAGAGGGTTGTGAACTTGCCACCAGTCCGCCAGCGCCAGCTGGGCGGGCGGCGGGGATCTCGCGGAAGCGCTGCGCTCACAACCCTAAGCCAGCTTCTCTTGCGATCCGTCTGGCGTCAAAACACACACACGTTCCGCATCTCTGCTCACCCGCAGGCCCGGAGAGGTGGGTCAGCCGGGACCCTGCTCGTGGGATGCCAACAGAGGCGTGCCACTGAGGTGCTGATCGGCGTTGAGCAGCCCCCGGGACACAGCGTGCGCTGCCGCTTCCGCCTGCCTGTGCGGCCGCCTGCCTTGCCGACGTGCCCGCCCGCCTTTCTGTGCAGTTGTTCGCTCGCAGTTGTTGGCTCCCCGAGGTTTAGGTTGATGGCAACAACCACCACTATCCGCACACTAGTGAAGCGCCTGTGCAGCGGCGGTGGGCGCAAGGCGACGGCGGCAGCCCGGACGCTGGCTGACCTCTCTTATGGCATAGACAACAGAACAGCCATCATAGCAGCCGGCGGCATCCCGGCGCTGGTGCGGTGCCTGGGCAGCAAAGACAGCAGCGAGGCATTGCAGCAGGAAGCAGCCGCAGTTCTGTGCAACCTCTCTTCAGGCAGCCCCGACAACAAGGCAGCCATTGCAGCAGCCGGCGCAATCCCAGCCCTGGTGCAGCACCTGCGCAGCAGCAGTGAGCAGATGCAGGAGGTAGCAGCCACTGCGCTGCGGAATCTGGCCTGTGGCCCCGACCATAAGCTGGCCATTGCGGCAGCTGGTGCCATCCCAGCACTGTTGCAGTGCCTGCGCAGAAGCAGCAGTCATTTGCTGGAAGCAGCAGCCGGGGCGCTAGGCAACCTGGCTTACAAAGCACCTGACCACGGCGCAGCCATTGCGGCGGCAGGCGGGATCCCGACACTTGTTCGGCAGCTGCGCAGCACCAGCAGCCATGGTGTGCAGGCAGCAGCAGTCATCGCGCTTGGAAACCTTTTGACAGCCAACCCTGCACACAAGGCAGCCGTTTCAGCAGCTGGAGGCATTGCTGCCCTGGTGCAGCCTTTACGTAGCAGCGGCAGCGAGGAGGTGCAAGCTCGAGCAGCTGATTTGCTCGGCATGCTGGCCTCTGACAGCGCCGACAACCAGGCTGCCATTGCAGCAGCAGGCGCCATCCCAGCCCTGGTGCGGCACCTGCGCAGCAGCAGCAACGCGGTGCAGGAGCAAGCCGCCAGCGCGCTTTGGAGCCTCTCTGAAGGCAGCCCTGACAGCAGTGCAGCCATTGCAGCAGCTGGCGGCATCCCTGCTTTGCAGCAGTTGCACCGCAGCAGCCCAAGCGACACGGCACGGGAGGCTGCAGCTGCTGCATTGCGAGGACTGGCTGACAACGGCCAGGCTGCGGCTGGCGTGCCCTCTCCTGAGAGCGCAGCAGAAGGGAGTGCGGCGACTGCAGGCGACCCAGCAGCAGCACTCACACCCCCGGTGGTTGCCTTAGGTGCAGCAGAGCCTGCTGGCCCCACTGTGGCAGCAACAGCTGTTGCCAGGGTGTGTGCAGCTGATGGCTGCGCCAACACACGTCGTCTGAAGCTATGTACCGGGTAAGCGCTGTTTGTGTGGAGGGGCAGGGACAGCACCAGCTGTGCCTGCATGCCTTCGTTCACTGCCTGCACCGCTTCAGCTGTTTCCTGCCTGCAGGTGCCAGGCTGTGCGGTACTGCAGCGAGGCCTGCCAACGCGCGCACTGGCATGCGCACAAGCCGGAGTGTCGGCGCCTGCGTGCCGCCGCGGCCGCTGCGCACCCCTAAACCAGCAGCCTGCTGCCCCTGGCTGGGCCCTGGAGTGTAGGACGGCCAGGATGCGCCGCCGAATACAGCCCGCCAAAGTTGATCTAGCGCCATGTTGCATGGATGCCTGTTCAGAGATCCCATGCTGCTTGCCGTTTCCTCTTGTAATAGATGCAGCTGAGGGGTGCGAGGCAAAGCGAGGGAGAGGGAGAGGGAGGGGAGCGGGCAGCGGTGGCGGCGCGGCGACAGCCGCCGCCCGCCCATGGCGGCTGGGGCTGCTGCCGGTGTTCACACAAAATTGCATTGTGACAGGCTCTCACAGGCCACGCAGAATCAAACGGTTCAAGATGCCACTCCACCCATCACCATATCACCCAAGTCCCCGCACAGCTTTAGCAGGGGCCTCCGCTCACTGACCATCAATCCACTCTTGATTCTGGCGGCCAGTATGGGCAGGCTGCTGCTACCGGTGGTGCTAGCCGTCTGGTGCTGGGCGGCCTGCGCCCTGGCCCTGCAGCCGCAGCAGTCTCAATCCTGCGTCGGAGATGCCGGTTGCATGTACCAGCGCCCACCCGCGCAGCCGCAGCTGCACCTGGACCACCCCCGCCTGGCCCGGCCCGCGAGTGCGGGGCCCCACACCCCCGAGCAGGCAAGCTACCCGCTGGCCGTGAGCAATGAAGCCGACATGGACGGCAACGGGGGGTGTTGAACACCGGCCTCATTCACTGCAGGTCCACCTGGCCTTTGCGGGGCCCGGGGGCTACGCCGTGACCTGGCTCACGCATCCAATGGACGAGGCAGGCCTAGCGGCGGCCGCGGAGGAGGCGGTGGATGAGGCAGACGCGGCGGCGGCGGCGGCGGGCGGTGGTGCCGTCGCTGACGGCCCGGCAGCAGGTGGCGAGGAGCCTTACCTCGCAGCAGCAGGGCCCCAGCCCCACCTAGAGGCCCAGAAGGCCGCCGCGGCTGCTGAAGCAAACGCAGATGCAGCAACAGGGGAGGAGGGTGAAGAAGAGGGCGGCGACAAAGGCAGCGAGGCGGGTGCAGCAAACAGGAAGAAGCACAAGAAGAAGAAGAAGCACCGGCGGAAGAGGCGGCGGTGCTCGCATGTGGTGGCTGCCGGCGGACGCTCGGTGGTGCAGTATGGCATGCAGCCTGGGGACTATCCCTTCACAGGCAAGCGGCTGGGCAGCGCGGGCGGAGCCCTGCGCGGTGGCACAACGCCGCACGCCCAGCGCGCCGGCTCCCGTGCCGCCGCCTGGCAGCACGACCGCACTGGCTGCCAGGTCCTGCCCCGCATGCCCGCCTGCCGCCTGCCGCAGCTGGCGGCGCCCCACGCCGTCGCTGCATCGCCCACGCCTCTGCCCGTTCTCCCTGCCTGCGCAGTGGAGAGCCGGGAGCCTGTGGCCTGCTATTCAAGTGGCGCCTATGTGTCGGGCGCCATCCACCGAGTGAAGATAGGCGTGGGGACGGAGGGGCCGCTGCCCCCCAACACCACAGTCTACTACCGATGCGGCGATCCCGAGCGAGGCTGGAGCCAGGGTGCGCGGCGGCGCTGCAGCTGCCGCTGCCGCGGCGGTGCCTGTTCGGCTGGGAACACGCGGCCCGCTGCGGGCTGGGCCGGCTCTGCCGCCTGGCCGCCTGCGGCCGCCTGCCACCGATGCTGCGGCCGGCTGGGGGGTGCAATCTGTCGCGCCGTGTCTCCCACAGCGCACGCACGCGCGCTCGCGCACACACACACACGTCCATACTTGCACACTCTCTCTGCCTCCCGGCGCCCCCGCAGAGTTCAGCTTTGTGACGGCGCCGCTGGTGGGGGTGGCGGCGCTGCCGTACCGCCTGGGCCTCATCGGAGACCTGGGCCAGACAGACCACTCGATGAGGTGGGGCGGGGCAGGACGGTACCGCTGCTGCCGCTGCTGCTGCTGCTGCTGCTGCTGCTGCTGCTGCTGCCAAGGGGCCGGTACAGCCAGGCATTCCATTCCGGCAGCCTGCTGGCGGGTCCCCACTTGCGTACTCGGCGGGGCGCCGGGCGCCTGCCTCACAGCCCCGGGCGCCTGCTGCTGCCGCCGGCTGCGCCCCACCAGCCCCGCGCCTGCCCCTCCCGCGCCTGCCTTGGCACCGCTCTGCAGCACGCTGGACCACGTGACTGTGACCGACCCAGCTTCCATCATCCTCACAGGAGACCTGTCCTATGCAGACGGCTACCAGCCGCGCTGGTGCGCCCCGCCGACGCCGCCGCTGCCCGTGCTTCTTTCGTCTTGCAGCCTTCTTTCATTCCCTGCCTTGCACTGCCTGCGCCTGCGTGTGCCTCGCAGCCGGGCCGGCTGCTGAGTGGGGCTCGGCCGCCTGCCACGTGATGCCTGACAGCAGCTGCCAGCCCCTTGCCGCCACCCACGCCCCCCCCCCC